GGTATCAGAGTCGATTCATGAACTGGAACAGAGCTTCGTAACCAGGTCGGCCAACGAGAGATGAATTGGGAGCTGAAACTTTAAGAGAGAATCTTGGGCCTGGTTTATCTTTGTTCTGTGCTCAGCTCTAAAGTGAAATAGAAACCAACTTGCTTCCTTGCTGAAGACTAGAGTTAAGGTCTGGACCTGTAACATTTATTTATTTATTTATTTTTATTTGTCAATTGCTTACAAGATAATAGGTATAAGTAAAAATATACTTATGAATACATGAAATGGGTACATATAAGAAAAATAAAAAGAAACAATAGGACAGGGACGGTAGGCACGTTGGTAAGCTTATGCACGTCCCCTACAGACCTCTTGGGAAAGGGGTGAGGTCCATAGTAGACAATCTAAGGTTAAAGTTTTGGGGGTTTGGGGAAGAAACCACAGAGTCAGGTAGAGGATTCCAGGCATCGACCACTTCGTTGCTGAAGTTGTATTTCCTGCAATCAAGTCTGCTTCTGTTTGAGTTTGCTCCATGTTGGAGGAATCTACAACTGGTACTGTAAAATTGACTTCATGTGTTTATAAAGAAGTTAACGGAGCCTCAGCCATCTGTGTTTACTTTCCTGGTGCTGAATTTACGCTGCCAAACTCTGAACAAAAGGTACCGTATATTAAAAAAAAAGTAAAAATAAAACACCAGGTGAGATTCCACCCTGCACACTCACCGATGGTTTGAATGATGGCATTCTGGACGATCCGCTCATCGTTGTCCTTAGAGGGGGCAGAGGGGGCAGCGTGGCTGTGATCTCCCCTCGTGTTGCCCAGTTCGAAATCCACACTCAGGCTCAGGTGCTTCAGCAGGGTGTTGAACACCTCCAGGACGGTGGGTCCTGCCCAACGAAAGCGTGGTTAAAAATATTTTCATTTTTATTGCTTTTATTGCTTTTAGAAATAACTCAAACCCGACACCGTTGTCTTCTTCCCTATTTTCTCCGCAACAACAACAACCCCGTGAGACGGGTTGGGACGAAAGAGGGCGACTGGCCCAGAATCAACCAGCCGGATTTCATGTCAAAGGCGGGACTAGAACTCACCATCTCCCAGCCATTGGCCCAGATCACTCTCAGATTATGATCGCTTGAATGCCTAAGGTAGGACTAGAACTCCCTGTCTCCTAGTGATTGGTTCTAAGCCTAGCGGTTAAGGCATCGGGCAAGGAAGCAGGTGGCCGTGAGTTCAAATCCTGCCTTAGGCCTGAAAGCCAACTGGGTGACGTGGAGTCAATCACCAGGTGACTGGGAGTTCTAGTCCCGTCTTAGACATGGAAGCCAGCTGAGAGACTGTCCAGTCCCTCCCTCTCTCTCTCTCCCTCTCTCTCTCTCTCAGTCCAACCCACCTCACTTCTTCGTAGCCAGCTTCCACGGCTAAGGAGGGACGAGAACTCAGGGGCCCCCCACTTTTTAGCCTTGTGTTTTAACTCAAACCAAACAGAGGTCAGAGCCCCAAACCCCGGTCCCTCCTGGCACTGATAATGTTTCCTAGTTGGGTCGTGAAACCTATCGAAAAGAAAAGAAAACCCCACATCAAACACAGAGAGCATCAAAGAAATCACATCCCTGTGGAGATTTCCTGTCATCCAGGTTATGACTGTCCCAAAGATGTTTTTTTTTTTTCAAGAGGCAACTGGACTTTTCTGGGTTTTTTCTTTGAAGACGTTTCGCTTCTCATTCAGGAAGCTTCTTCAGTTCTGACTGGATGGAGGGGAATGGGAGGATTTATACTCCTTGCAGACAGCTGGTCATTTGCGTCCTTTTCAGAGTGTCGTTGAGGCCACCTGGAGGTTCTTCTGTGCCCTCAGGGTCACCTGAGTGGTGCCTCCAAGTGGCCTCAACGGCTCTATAAGGAGGCAAATGACCAGCTGCCTGCAAGGAGTATCAATTCTTCTATCCTCCACCATCCGGTCAGAGCTGAAGAAGCTTCTGGGATGAGAAGCGAAACGTTTTCGAAGAAAAACCAAGGAAGTCTCTTGAAAAAAAAAAAAAACACCTTTGGGACAAAGAAGCCACAGTTCAACCCTCAACCACAAATATTCCCTTGGTGCCCTGCAAATTTCCTGACGTTTTCCCAAGGCTACGAGAGGAGGGGTCGGCCCAAGGTTACCCAGTGAATTTTGGGCCAGAGCCTGGCTCTGAACCTCCAACCCAGGCTGGCCTCCTGGACAAGCCCAGTCAGTTCTCCATTTCCAGAGGTGCCTTCTACAGCTGACTCACCCAAATGGCCCTTTTGCCTAGGGCAGAACCCGCACTCGAGTCTTCCCATCCCACGTTTGGCAGCTTACTCACTAGATAAACCGGCTCTGTGAGCCCCGGGCATTAAATCAATCACCTCTTTAAGTCAAAACGTGACTCAATCCATCCCTGCCAAAAACTCCTCATTGATCAAACCTCTTTGTGTCCGCTTGCGCGAAAGTTGACTTGCGGGGCTTGTTATGAACCCAAGACGGGTTTTTCTAACTTTAATCCAAAAAAGCGAGACTATCTGTATTTTCTAGCTCTTCCGAGGTAGAAAATACAGATAGTCCTCGACTTACTCGTTTAGTGACCGTGTGAAGTTACAACAGCACTGAGAAAAATAAGCTATGACCATTTTTCACCCTTATCTCAGACTCAGCTTGCTGTCCGGATTCCAGCCCTCACCCTAATTAAATCCTGAGCCTCGGGCCAAACTTCAAAAAAACTTGAAAGATTTGATCAGGAGCGACATGCTGGCGTGATCCGTATGAAGCCGAATCTGAAATTTTATGTAATTTACGATCCCCTGTGACCCTGTTTCCCCCATCCCACACCTCTGGGTGTATCATAATTCATATTGTCCAACGAAACACATTCACGGGCTAGGTGTCATCAATCACATTCTCCAACAGAGGATTTTCCCGCCCAGATTACCCGGTCGCCTAAGTTACAATCTCTGTAAGAGAAGCTTGGAATGTCCATTTGCCGTCTGCTCCTTCAGGGGTTTCTTTCATGTGGCAATTTGGAAGCCGGCCTAGGAATGTTTTACAAGTTGACACATACCACCGTTGCAGCACCCTTGTGGTCACGTGATCAAAATTTAGAGGCGACTGACTAGTATTTGTCCCAGGGTCATGTTAGTCGTATGCGATCCCTTTCCCATAAGCCAGGTCAACGGGGGAAACCAAATTCAGTTCACAACAACTGCAGCCATACAGGTCATCAAAACTCAACCAATATCTTGCTTAGCAACCTACATTTTTCACCTCAATCGTGGTCGTAGGTCGAGGACAAACGTGTACGAACTACCAAACGGACGCACAATTTGGGATGGTGTGTGGAAGAGACAAGGCAAGGAAACACTGCCTAGACTAGAGAATGGTCAGATAAAAGAGGATTTAGCTTAATAACAAGAGAAGCTGCTCAGACTACAAAACAGACGGCGGGAGATTGGCACTCTCAAACCTGCAAGATTCTGTTAACGTAACCTGAAGGGAACAGTAACAATAAAGGAAGAAATGTAGTAGAATATATTATAGCGTTAAGTAGAGACTTACTCTGTAAGCGTTTGTTATCTTGCTGTTGTAAAAAAAAGATTTCCTTAACCTTTCACTTGTTGTAAAACAATTATAAACACCTGCCTGCAATCAACTACATCCCTCTTCTATTAAGACACCTGATTCTCCCACCTGAATCCACCTGATACATTTCACCCCAGCATTACACACACACACAGACACAAGCAAGGTAACCTACCTCTCTGGGAATGTAACTACCTCCATTCGGAGGAATCCACACCATTGAAGTATGCTCTTAATAGCCTCCTTAAGTGGTCAATTGTGATCAGTTAGGAGGACAATAAGAGAAGAGATAGTGAAAGGTAAACATTGCCAAAGAGGGACCTGTCTTTTGCAGGAAATGTGTAAATCTAAGCCAGAGAGTTTTACAGTGCAGTTACTCAACTTCTAAGGATCTTAAAGGTATAAGAAGGACAGAACATCTTTCTGTATTTTGTAGAACTTTCCTCCCGTGTCTCTTGTGATGTTCTAGGAAGATCTTATCCAGATCTTTGACTTTGATCAAGGAATAAAGTCTGCTCTCTTTTGATTTGCAAGCCTTCGTTTAAGTCTTTGTTTTGGTTCATTTTTGGCTTAAGCAAACTGCCAGACCTTACATCTCTTTACAATAGAAGTGGGGTTAGTCCATTTGGGTTGTGTTTCCTGCCTGGTTTACCTGAGAAGGCTAACGAAGCGACAGTTCTAGGTTTCCTTTTAAAAACAGATAAAAAAGAAAATGAGGAACATCATGAAAGAACATCTTCAGAACCCAGAATCTTGTTGCCATCACCGTATACGATCTCTTGCAGTTAGATAACCCCCCCAATTAAAATTGTCTGTGGCAAGGCTCTTCAACCTTGGCAAGTTTAAAACTTGTGGACTTCAATTCCCAGAATCCCTGAGCTAACATGACTGGGAGGAGGAGGAATTCTGGGAGTTGAAGTCCACAAGTCTTAAAGCTGTCAGGTTAGAAGACCCCCGGTCTATGGAGATTTCGGCTTTTCACACCCATTTGCACAACTCAGGTGACCCCCGAAGACCCCTGGGATAAACCTCCAAGTGGCCTCAACGACTCTTTAAAAAAGGATGCAAGTGACCAGACACCTGCAAGGAGCGTCAATTCTTCCCCTCCCCGCCACCATCCAGTCAGAGCTGAGGAAGCTTCTTGAATGAGAGGAGAAACATCTTCAAAGGAAAAACCAGGAAGTCCAGTTGCCACTTGGGAAAAGAAAAAAAAAAGCCCCTTTGGGACCCTATTAAAAATGTTCCGTGAAACAGTTAAGAGCAGAAGACGGGAGAAATCATTCATAATTCGGAACCAGTTTTAATTTATATATATAAAAGCAAAATACCCCTCATGTATCATCACAAAAACTCCAGAACAGTAAAGCCTACAGACTTGAAATTTGGCCCGTATGTTCCTCTTGGCTTCTAGGGGCTCACTAAGAAAGGTGACCATCAGAGCATTTAGAGTATTTCCATTATTATTATTATTATTATTATTATTATTAGGATTATTAGGATTATTATTATTAACACGCTCTGATGCTAAGGAGTTCTACTCCCCCTCCCCACCTGAAAAGAAATCTCTTCCAAATGCAAAACACAAGCAGAGGAGTTTCAGTTTTGGTTTCAGACCACCAAGCAGCTTTAGGACAGAGCAGTTGAGCTAAGCCACGCCCAGGCTCCTTGCTGTCCCCTTCTTGCTCACACGGCAAATACTCTTTCAGTTTCCAAACAGCCCTCCACGCTCTCACACACTGACAGGACGCTAGCCAGGTGAACACCGATGGATGCTGGTAAGCAGAGGCAGAATTATTTTCCTCCCTTATTTTCCTCCCCAAAAAACTAATCCCCACCACATAGTTTCGTAGCAAAGCACGGGGATCCGGCTAGTTTTGAAATAAAAGAAAGGACAAGGGGCGGAAAAAAAAACCAACCAGCTGGATTAGCAAGTATATTTTCTGCCTTACGTAGCAGGAACCACTGAACAACACTCCTCCTTTTTGCTCTGGGGAAAATCCTCACCATCTGGGTCTTCTCTCTTGACTTCCTGGCACCGTTTGCCATCCTGGGCTGCCATTTTAGGGCCCGATTCTGTTTCCTGCCGACATCCACGCTTCTTTCTCTCTGCTCCCAAGGTCTCTCTCTCTCAATTCGGGATCCTGCCAACTCCCGACTGCCAGAGCTCAGCTAAGGTGAGCCAGCAGATCCTGGATCTCATCCCCAGCTTAATTATCTCTAATTAGCCCTTCCGTGCTGTGATTTTCCCCTGAACCATCCCTGACATTTGTGTCCCGACAGCCTCTAATAATAATATGGTCCCATCACGTTCTTGCTTACGCGAGTAATTTCCTGTCTCACTTCCCTGACGTAGCAACCCCATTAGCACTTATTCTGCCCAGGGAGGAACAGCAGAGACAGAGCTCGGCTAATGGCCAACAACTGAGCCCAAAATTTAGGTTGCTAAGTGAGACACATTGGCTGAGGGTTCTTGACCCGCTTTATGATCTTTCAAAGCAACCTAGAACTAAGGAGGAATTTCCTGACCGTGAGAACAATGAATCGGTGGAACCGCTTGCCACTAGAAGTTGTGGATGCTCCAACACTGGAAGTTTTTAAGAAGAGACTGGACAGACATTTTTCTGAAATGGTGTAGGGTTTCCTGCCTAAGCAGGGGGTTGGACTAGAAGATCTTCAAGGTCCCTTCCAGCTCTGTTATTCTATTTCTATTCTTATTCCTATATTCTATTCTATTCCTATCCTTTCTTATTCTATTCATTCTTATTCTATTTCAAGTCCATTCCATATTCTATTCTATTCTTCATTCCATTATTCTGTTCCATTCCATTATTCTAGTCTATTATTTGATTCTCGGTATTCTATTTTGTCTATTCTATTCTATTCTATTCTATTCTATTCTAT